TTATTTATATTTTTTAATGTCTTAATTTTTATTTTTTAAAATAAATAAATTTAAAAAATAATATATATCATTTTTTACTCTAAAAAAATATTAATGTTCTAACATTAATTATGAGAGTTTATAAACTAATTAATCAAAATCAAACTAAACTTCAGTTAAATTTTCTAAACATAAATTCATAATTTTTTACCATCTAATTCGTGGTTCTCTAATTCTCTTACCTAAGTATCATTGATTCCTTCCGTTGGAATTCCTTTTGGGACAATTTCACTATAACAGAATTGTCAAGTAATGATGACTATTAATAACAGTGGCAAGTAGGACTTAGCAGAAGCTTACCATTCCTTAAAATTAGTAAAATTGAAGTGAAATTTGCTATATCATAATTTTAGAGTAGATGTTTAATTTGAGATCTCACTCTACTAACATATTTGATAATTTAATTTTCAACTCCTCAACATCAAAAACCAATGGAGTTTGGTCCCCATTTTTCTATCTCGATTCCCCATTATCGGTTTGGTTTCAGAAAACTTTAAATTAAATTGGATTTTTTTTTTCCATTTTTGTATTATTGTACCCTCACTCTTGGGCATTGCCTGCTACCATTTGTAATGTGGGCTTAAGTTGGCCCAGCACCAAGCTTTTTATTTTTTTGTTGGGTTCAAGGTTATAATATGTTTTGATTTCTTATTTTAATTAGTTTTGATATTTTTTTGGCAAATGGATAGGATGTGGTTTTTAATAGAATTTATATAATTTTTATTTTTCTACAAAAAGAGGGATTTGAATGCATAATAAATGAAGCTTTTGGACTTGATTGAATATTTTTTAAAAATTGAGGGACTGTATTAGAAGAAAAAAACTAGCTTTCAGGGATCTAGATTTTATCATTAAAAAATTACAAAGAGATCCAAAAACCTGCCACGGGTTTGGTGTCGGCGCTATCTGCTACGTGTGGACACCATGCTTTAAGCCTTTGGACAATATGTGTAGGATGAAATAAAAAAGGGTGCCGATACCCATGTTGTAGTGTCCATACACAAAGCATTTTTAGGGGTGGAATATTCCTATACGTTAAATTATTAATATCATATTTTTTTTATTATAATTATTTATTATATTTTTATATTACACATTATCTTAAAAATTTTTATTTTTTTATTTTTTAATAAATTAAAAAATATAATAATCAATTAAAATAAAAAAATATAATATTAATAATTTA